CCAAACTAATAGTCATGGAAATAAAAATGCCAGAAAGTTAATTTTCGTGTTCGGTTACATGTGTGAGCCACTGTATTACATTCTAGGTTAACAAATTCAGATTCTGAATTAAATTGGCCTAGCAAATGAACTCGACTCTGGAACTAACCGATGGGTTGACCCACCCACATCCACCCGGGTAGCTACGACCGCAACCTGGATATCCGACCCACTCGTGGGTAATCCGGTTGCACCTAACCAGGGTCCGATCTCTATAATTAGAATCTATTATAAGAATCGATTTCCTTGATTTTGTCTCAAATTTATTCTTAGAATCTTTCATATTTCTACAATTCACAATGTCTTCAACATGGAGTACCCCTCCTACCAGTTGATCTGCGCGATCTGCGATTCAACATGTGAGGTATTATATTATATCATGCGCATATTGAGAAAATTTTGCACAGATAAATTAGTTTGAAAGTATGCGGGCGTGTAGATTAAATTTTTAAATTAATTTTATACACTGCCTCCTACAGAAGTACTCCGAGTACTAAAATGGATCTTGAAAATATCCAGGTATAAGTCAGCAATTTATAGTAAGCTTTCCGATTTTCGAAATTTTAGACTTCTTTGTTTATATTAATAATTACTGATTGGGTAAAATTAGTTTCGGTATCGTGCTTTGATCAAATGAAATTATAATTTAAGGCTTCGTTCTTTATCATTTTTTAAACTATCATTTTTCGCTAATCCCTTTTTGAATATAGTGCAGGACACTTAACGACACCAATAAATTAGTCATATTTAAAGAAAAGGATCTTTATACAAAGATCATACAAAAAAAGGGGACTGCTATTTTGTAGCTAGACAAATAACGGCCTCTTTTTTTTTGTATGATCTTTGTATAAAGATCCTTTTCTTTAAATATGACTAATTTTATTGGCGTCTTTAAGTGTCCTGCATTGTAGCTTCTGCTTCGATTTTTTGTCAGTCATTTTCATTAACTTAGTATTCAATTTGATTTTTACTTGAATACCATGCAAGATATTGATAAATTAGTCATTTCGGTAATTTCGTAAATTCGTTCAGTTTTGGGTCGGTAGGCAACATCGAACTGTTACTGATCATTTCGGTTATAAGGGCTTCTAAAAATCCGAACCCTAACAGTTAGGTTGATGCGGATTACCAAAATATAAATTCAATATATTAAAAAAACAGACTTACGTATGTTTCTCCAATATAATTTTATGTTTAAAGATACAGTTAAAGTTTAATAAAGCGAACCTCGATAAAGCGAGCTCGCGTTAAAACGAAGAATTTTCAGAAACCAACCGAAAAATAATATAATAGTACTTTATAACGTTAAGCGAAATTTATTTTTGAATAACCTGAGGTCTTCGGTTTATCGAACATTAACTGTATAATGATTAAAACTTCTCTTGATATACATGTATTACCGTTGCAACTATCACTCGAAAATAATCTTTTACAAGCTTCAAAATTTTGTATCGAAACTGAATAACACATTTAACTATGGCTTTTTAGCGAACAAAAAAGGAAAAAGTGCATGTACCAATATGTTTTGAAACCATATGAAATATAAAAAGAAAAGTACTTCAATTAATAACGATAAATCATTTTTCGGTTTCATCGTTATTGTGTGAAAATTGTGCTTTACAGAAAGAGGCTTTGTAATATTATTATCAGAGGCTTTGAATCGTCGGCCCTATTGCTGGTGCTTAGCAAATTTAAAAGCCGTTGCAAACACGCAAGAGAGCATTATTTAATGATTCGGGCTAAATTACTTTTCAAAATCCTAAATATTTAGGATTTTGAATTATCATACATTTTTGCAGATCATTTGGTGCTAAATACTTTAGCCCAAATCACTAAATTACACTAATTTATACTATGTTTGTAGAAATTCTGAAATATAAAAAGACTTCCATATTGTGCGTAAATCTAAAGTCATCAAACGTTTATATTTTATAAAATGCATAAACTTCTTTACTAAGAAGTAAATTCAAAACTTAATCCGTGAATATGATAGAATAGGCCTTTTCTGAGCATATTCACGGATTAAATTTTGTACATGTGTTTACTTCTTAGTAAGACGTTTATACATTTTATAAAATACAAACGTTTGATGACTTTAGATTTTATGTACCATACACCTGGATGAAATGGAATAAGTCTCACGCAGATTTAAGGTGAAATCCAAATATTCTGATAGGAATCCTAGATTCCCTTCTCAACTTTTGTATTATGGCTCATAATTTTCCCTGCAATAGTTAGTTATTCTCTACGATAAAATTACCTCATCTTTCGGGTAAAAATTTCGTTTAATCTTGAGTTTTCATCAATTCAGAACTTCAATTTTTTGTGTCATTTGAAATTTGTTTTGATCCACATATGTAAATATCTATAGTAAAATAATTCAATCTAAAAACAAATCAAATAATCTATTAAATAATAATTACAAGATACAGTATATTGTTTTAAAATAGTAATCGATATTCTTTATTGTTTATTTTCCATTATTATGGTGCATAACATCTAAACTCATCAATAAATTGTATTTTATAAATTCTATAAGCTTCTTTACTAAGAAGTAAATACAAGATTTAATTCGTGAATATTCTCAAAGAAAGACCTATTAATGGATTAAATTTTGTATTTACTTCTTAGTAAAGTATATAGAATTTATAAAATACAATCTCTTGGTGAGTTTAGATGTTATATACCATATAACTTTAACTCCATTTCAGAACGAATAACTATAACGAGTTCTATCAATAAAATTGGTTTCTTCCAAAAAATCTGATCTCAAACAATAATACTATGATAATTACACTAACACTAATTCATGTATCAATTAATTGTAGTGCTCCAATCGGGTCGGGTTGGTGTCAAACCCGACCCGAAATATTTCGTATCAGACTAAAAATCGTTATTTCTCGTTCAATATTAATTCAATTTGAACAATAATTTGTAGACATATACACAATTACATTTCGAACAACTCTAATTAAGACACAAAATACAAGTGTCTTAGTAAAAATAAAATTTATTAACGAAAAACTATTTTACGATTTTCGGATCAAACCCGATCCGAACCCGAACCAATCCGAATTTATCGGATCAGGTTGACCTCAAACTTGACCCGACAGAGCTTTAATTAATTGTATATTGCTAAATACAAGTGTTTAAAAAACTTCTTAATTCTTATTTTTAATTTTAAATCATTAAATCAAAGTTTAATTTTTCTAGTAATTATTTTTATACTCTTTTTCACTAACTAATGAAATTTTAATTAGATTTGATATGAATTTTCTTCTATTTGTTTCATCATTTTATTACTTATAATATTTCTTTTTTAATATCTTTTTTGAATTATCCTATAAAAATAATCAGACAAAAATCCAATTTTTTTAGTTCCGGAAATCACAGATTTAGTTATAAACTTTCTGGATTAAAATCGAATTAAAATTAGAAAAAATAAAGGATGTGATATTTTAAAATTTACAAAATTTATCTAATAATATCCTGAAAAAATGGTAGCTAAATATATTTGTCAGAAAATACAATTTTTATTTGGATAAATTAGAATTAGTATTAAAGTTAATATTATATATTAAACTATTTTTTAAATATTGTGAAAAAACATGTCATATTATTACTTTTTGCCAGAATTATATTTATATTATAAATAGCTAAAAAACTTTAAAATCTTCTTTTAACAAAAATATTTATATTTTTAATTTTATAAATAATCTATAAACAAGTAATTTATTTTATTAAATCAATTTAATATAACTTTATAATTAAAATAAGAAATTATAAATAAATTAAACAAATATAATTTTATAATTAAATAAAAAATTATAATAAACTAAAATAAAACTTAAACAAATCTTAAAATAAAACTAAAGTAAAACAATAAATTAATCAA